AGAGTAATCATTTTCTGTGTCATGGGAACTGCCTTGACCTCTGTCTTGAAAGTCTCCATTTGCATATTTTATTAATTGGCCTTATTAGTTTGTGGTGCTTTCTTTTGGTCAGTATTTGGCATGGTGGGCCTTTTCCTTCTCTAATCTCTGCTTGCTAAAGGACATGATGTGACTTCTGGCTGTTGGTTTGGAAGAGAATCAGTATTCACAGATGAACTTGTGTTGCTGTTTCACAGGACTGATATTTGATAAATACCAGGTGAGGGTGTTTCAAAGCTATAGCAATCACATCATTTTACCTTTTGAGATATTGCGCTTTTTTCCAAATGGACAAGTTTTGTAAGTGACTTTAACGAGGATGTGAATGTTTAATGCATTTATGTGGTGTATGAAATAGCAGATGTGAAGATGAGACTGTAGGCAGTGTTCTTGTTTAAAAGAGGTGCATATACACGTATCTGTAGATGTCGGTATTTATGGGTCTTGGGAGAAAGCATTTCTTTGTGTGCTGCTCTTCACTTGAGATGTAAGATTGCCCTGACTGTTGGGAATCCCTTGCATATTAAGAGAATTTTAGTTTGTTATAACCAAGGACTTGAGTAGGTAAATTCTGTATTTTCCATTACGAAGCTCTCCCTTAATTTTGAAAGGTACTATCACTTGTGATGTGCTTTCTCTCCTCCAAGTGGGTTTGAGGTGGATAATTTTCACTTTGTCTTTTTTGTCTCCCACTCTTTGTTTCCCTTTCTCTGCCACATGCTCTCATTTCCTGCTGCAGGTTGTCTCTCCCTATATGCACGCTCTCCACTGCATGTGTGCAGCACACTTACTAACTGCTGCGTGCACACTGCCAATACACACACACTCTCTGCTGCTGTTGCTCTTGCTATCCCTGCCATGCCTGATGCCTCTGTTGTACATGTGTTTGTGCTTTCCTTCAGTCCATCTCTGCCTGCTGCTCTGCCTCGGCTCTCTCCCAGTCTGTGCCCCTCTCTTGTGCTCACTGTGGCTGTCCTGCTCATGCTGTCTCGCTTGCTCTGTCTCTTACTCTCTCTGTCCACACTGTCCCCCTGACTCTAGCTCTCTTCTCTCAGCTTCTCTCCCCCACCGCTCCCTCTGTGTTGCTTTCCCCATCTCCAGCATGTGTCCATCTGTTCATGCAGGTTTAGGAAGTCTGTGTGGGATTTATATGTACTTCTTTGCATTTCTCAGGTGTTTTGAAATGAAAAGTGAAAAGTGGTAACACAGAGGCTTATAGTAGTGGTAGTAATACAGTCAAGTACTGACATATCTTCAGTGTTAGCATATAATCATAAATTTATGAAGGAGCAGGTTCCTACCATTTATTTTATGTAAATTATGTATTCATGTATGATTTAGTCACGCTTTATCTGATTGTGTTGTAGGTCCACTTTTTCTAATTAATTGGGAAACATAAATGTAGTTTAAAGTGTTAGGAGCTTCTTAATTTTGTATTTATTTTCACTTGTTCATTCCTTTCAGATTTATGCTTGATAGATTAGAAGGTAAAAGATATGCATAATTCTGCTGATAACTTTTCTCAAAATAATAAACACTTCCTCCTCCCCAAGTTTACTTGT